TTTGTTTTTCATATAGAAGTCAAGTAAAATGAAATGTTGGAAGTATTTACAAGATTGTTACATTTGACCAAATATGTGGAAGAGCATTTATGGCTTGTAATTTTTTGTAATTTTTTTTTTTGAAATAATTTATGGCTTGTGAATTACTCTCTCCATCCCATTTTATATGTCACATTTTTACTTTACACTTGCATTAAGAAATAATGTAACTTTACTCTTCTACCCTTATTTAATTTTTTTGGAACTCAAGTTTTCAATCAATGAATATGAATTAATTTATTTTGATTAATTAATTTAACCAATGAACGTGAATCATTTACTTAACTTTTCTAAGTTGGTCAAATGTATGTTTTCAATGCTAATAACTCACAAGGGTAAAAAAGGAACAATATGTTAATTTATGCATTGATTTTATGAAATGATAAGTATTATGGACCAACTATTTATAGAAAGTGATGTCATATAAAATGGGACGGAAGAAGTAGTTAAGTATTTAAGAAAAATTGACTTATGTCTTTGGGGTGAAAAGGGGGGATGTATAGTTTGGTATAACATATTTTGGAAAATTAAAAATGTTTCTAATAACTTGTGTTAAAATATTAGTAGTAATTTGAGATTTTTTAACAAGATTTATAAAGGAAGAAGATCTAATTGATAACAGATATATGAGATCATTTTTATTGGTGTCTGGTGACACGTTCGTAATGGAAAGAAAGATACCACTACTTCTCCTCTTTGTTGGACCGCCGGTGCGAACACAGTGGTCTTGAAGCGGCGCATTCCCGCAATTTAGGTGAAGCATGAATGTAATGATGAACTCATTCGACATCAGGAACAGCTGGAAGGGGTATGACTCTTTAGGGTAATACAACAGATTATTCATGTGCAAATCGAGATGCAGTCCGATTCGAGCATATCCAGTTTCATATCCATATCTCGCAGATCCTGATTCTTCTATTACATAATACATATCAAACAGTCGTATCTAGATTGATATATTGAGATTCAGTATTTTATAATTTAAATTAGGTCTTTTAAAATTGTAATTATTAAAATTTTAGATATTTCTCAAGATAACGACAATATTTGTATTACCTTTTTTAGATAATCTTTTATTATGAGCTTTCAAAAATATCTCTCAAAATTGGTAAATCATTTTCATTGATTACATTGCATCTCTAAAAGTTTTAACTACTCCATTAAACAATCAGCACTAGATATTTTAAGATCCACTATTACAAATTAGGCTAATTCTTAAGCAATATAACTAGTAATAAAATATGAGATATTTCTCAAGATAACTATAATGTTTGCAACTCCTTTTTAGGTAATTCTTTTACTAGAGGTTTGAAAAATATCTCTTTTCTAGTTGGAGATAAATTTAGGTATATGTTATTTGATCCCTCATTTTAAAAGGTTATATATTCACACACCCCAATTATGAGATTTAATTATAATTACATATTTCGATTTCTTGAGAATTTTAATTTATATCTACTATATTCTTCGTTCCTCTTTAGTTGTCATGGTTTCTTTTTTAGAGTCAAAGGATATGAACTTTGACTAACATTTTTACGATATATTTTTTCATCATATTGATATGCAAAAATTATAATTTATAGTACTTTTCGTATAACTTTTAAATATATAAATTTTTAGTTTAAAATATTCGAATTAATGTAATCTAATTTAGCTTTAAAAATTAATCAAATTAACTTTCGAAAAATACAACTCAATAACTAAAAACAAAAGTCGAAAAGCGCAATACGACAATTAAAAAAGGACGGGAGGGAATAAATCAATACAAAAATCTTCTTAGAGGGAGAAGACATATGACATAAATAAGTTCTTCCAACAGTATAATTGAACACTAAGACTATTTTGGCCAAATTATTTTGACTATTTATCTCTTTATATCTTTGCTTAACTTCTTGTTTGGTACAACTTTTTTTTTTCTAAATAAAAGATACTACTAATGAGTAATGAGTATTCTTCGGTTTAGAAAAGAATGACTTACTTTTTTTTGCTCCATTTAAAATTAAAAAAAGTTGTAATATTTTAATTTCAATTTTTCATGTGACATGTTTAAGACCACAAGATTAAAGAGCAATTTTGTACGTCTAACATAATTTTAATTTAGAATCACAAGATTTAAAAATATTCTTTATTTTCTTAAACTCTATGTCAAGTCAAGTTATGTCACTTTTTTTTAAACGAAGGAAATATTATAGTGGAAAACACATACACAAAATAATAATAAAAAAAAAAGATAGAAAAACGTGTAAAAAAAGGGTGAAATAACATGGGAAAGGTTAGAAAGTGGAGATAAGAGTGTGACAAGTAAACAATCAATGGAAATTGAGGGGACACTTTAGGTGTCACTACTCACTACAAGTCGCCAATTATTGTCCTATAAGACTTTACAATAGTGAATTTCGTATTTTCACCGTTCTATATCAGTCGTCTATTTTTTTTACACGTTTCTTAAGAAGTTGTAAATGAGAGAGATTGTTTTACTAATTTATCTCTTGAAAAACGGTTTTGAAAATTTTAAAACATGTTTATATTTTTAAATGAATTAATTGTAAGATAAAAATGAAAAAATATAATTAATTATGTCTTGATTTTGTAAATTTACAAGTAATTTGAGATAACTAATATATAACGGAAGGAGTAATAGGAAAAGGAAGGGGGTGAGGATGAAATATTTATTTTAACTATTATTTATCTCATTTATGGGACAGAGTTGGGTCCATAGCTCAGTGGTAGAGCATTTGACTGCAGATCAAGAGGTCACCGGTTCGAACCCGGTTGGGCCCTTTTTTTGAAAAAATATTTACTTTCTTGAGCATATGGTGGTTTTGGAGAGATTATCCTAGCTCCATGATTACATAAATATAAATAGTTTATAAAATAGATTAAAATTTAAACTTTCTCAAACTCTAATACTTTTTCCGTCTACCTTTCGATTCATCACACATCTCTGCATTAAGTTATGAGTCATTTGGATTACAAATGGCTCAAATTCTATCTTATTCTTCGATTTTAGTATTATTCGTTGATTTTTGTTGTAGTTATTGTATTATTTGTTTTGCTATTTGTTCTCTTCTTAATTGTTTTCAGGATGGCTTTTTCGTTACTCTATTAGCTTTGCATATTTGATTTTTGATATGTTTTATTTGAGTCGAAGGTCTATCTGAAACAACTTTTCTACTTTTAAAAAGTAAGGATAAGGCTACATACACACCATCTACTCCAGACCTCACTTTATGAGATTACACTGAATATGTCAATGGTCGAATAAACTGCTCAAATGTATCCAAATTTAACTTTGCTTGCACATTTTTATTTGTTAAAGTATTCAATAACACAATATATTAGGTTAATCTTATACAAGACAAGAGTAGATATATATTTATGGCTGTCAGAATCTAATTTCTACTTGGCTTTTTTTCCCTTTAAGATTCTTGTACAATAGAAAAATATTTTTCTCAGAACAACAGCTACTAATAAACTAGATAACTGAACAGCAACTTAATCTTAAAATGTCAGAACAAACAATTTTCTTTCAATAATTTAAGCAAAAGGTGTCAACCACTCATTTTTCGCCACGTAGATGATTAAAAAAAAAACTATGCCAGGTCATTATGTTTACAACTGTTTTGATTTCATCAAACTGCTAAAGAACAAACTAATTAAGATATTAATTTTTCCTAATAAGAAAATAGTATAAGCCAGTTAGCCTATCAACAAAAGTTGTCTAGTGTTTTTGGGACAGTTCTTAATGCATAGTTGTATGTACATTGCATTTGCCTTTGCCCTTACAATTTTTTTATTGTTTTTTTTGTTTTTTTTTAATCTGTTCTGTTCATGTAGTTTCTGTATTGAGTCTGTTAAAGAAAATGACCAGATGCATGTACATGTAAAAGGTACTCAAAGATTGCTTCATATTATAGGTTTGTGCCTCCTAAAGACTCTCCTAAAGACTTTTCTTGGTTCCACTCGATGTCTGGTATCCGTATTGGAGTCTGACAACATTCAGATTCTTGCTGCATAATCTCTGGTTAAAGGAGTAGCAACCCATCCACTGGAACACATTCTTTAGTGGTGCCTCCTAAAGACTTGTAACCATCTTAATTAAATATTTTGTTTAAATGTTTGGGATAGCATTTAAACAAAGATTTAATGGTCAATTATTGTTGATGGAGATCTTAAGCAAAATTAATGACTTATTAAAGGAAAATATAGTTCAGTAAAGTAGAATCAATCACAAGAAAATTGAATGTGAAGGAGTCAGCCAATACTATGTGTTGCTTCTTAAGTTAGAAATGAAGCAATAAAAATAATTGTGATCTGCTATTCACATGATCCCTGTCATATTACTTTTCATTTCCTCACTTTACTTGTTCCATTTTACTTAATGGTAATCTGGCCAACTTACACGCACCTTGACTATTCTACCAGACACTTGTTATCTCCCACTAGCATAGTATTAGGTAACTCTACCCACACAAAGGCTTCAGCAAATAGTAAAGAGTCATCTAACAGTATTTTTAGTTTCTATTAACACTTTCATTGTAAGCAACACACTTGGGAGTCGGGTATACGTTAATTCGAGATTATTCAAATATGAGCAGGATAACTTAGCCCCATAGTCCATAGAAATGTACTTAAGACAAGCATGTCCACAATCCTGGAGAAACTTGACCAAAGGAAACTCAATAAAAAGTCATGTTGTTGCATAGGAAATGAAACAGTTCATTTCATAAAAGCAATAATGTTACATTAGGTAAAGATCATAGAAGAAAACTTCTTACTACACAGCTACAAAAGAGCAGAAATCTCAAACATGAAACAACCTTGAGAACTGTATGGCAAAAGACTACCTTCGCCTGCCTATAAATTCAGCAGTAAATACTGATACAGCCCATGCTGAAAGAAGCGACAAGCTTTTGATCAACATTAACATGCAGACGATCAAAAAAACCTAAACAGCGAGATCAAAATAACTGAAAGTTTGGATTAAACCAAAATTGCAACACATATAACAAGATAGTCTTAACTTATTTATCAGATATCTATACATTCTATAAGCAGCATTGGCTAATACTTGAGGGTATCTCTTCCTTCTCCTTTGTTACACCATGCCGCCTAGCTTTCAACACTCTACAACATATGGTGAACAGAAATATCTTGACTAAGAGAGTTGTAAGCGATTAAAAATACACCTGATAATGAAGACCAATTATAATGCGATGTGCCAATCTTGGGGAACAAGCTATATCTATGAAGCCCTGACTGACTATATATTTTTCACCAATATCCTGGCTAGTACCAAATTGGAATATCTTGCTTCGGTGTGGCATCACATCCAATGCCAGACAGACTTCCAGGGTAATTGGTGGACTGTAAGTTGAACGGAGGCCCAAACATGAAATGCAAATTGTCACTTGAATTTAGGATCTTGCATTGATCAACAGGATTGCTTTGTGGGTGCATAGACTGACTTGCGGAAACATTAATATCTTTGAAGATATTCCCCTCCATCATCCCTCGACTGTGTAGGTAATTGACCTGGTCAACACGAGGTTGTTGATGAAGCTGCTGCTCTTTGGTCACTGCAACATTCCCCGTATTTTGGCTTTTGTTTCCTTGTATATTACAGTCATAGAATGACATAAGGTCATCAATCATCCTTTGCCCATCTTCAGGAACTCCTACTCCAAATAGACCAAAGGGAGGTGGACTTGGATTAACAGGCAGAGCAACTGAACTTGACGGGACATATTGTTGAGGGAAGACAACTGGCTTGACTTCGTTCATGGGAAACTTTGAAACTCCAAATTGAGAAGTATTTCTGAAAGGGCAAGCCAGTTGATGATTGTCTCTCGCAGATCTGTCCTGAAAACCGTGGCGAAGTTCACTGTAAGGACATTGAAGAATCTCACACGTATAAATCTGAGCCATGGTAACAGTCTGTTCATTGGATTGCTTCCTCTTCCGGGTGAAATCTAAGTTGGTAATCATTTCATCCTTGATTGGATGAGACTGTTGTTGCAGAGGCAGCCTCTCGTTGAATCTCTCAACAGTGACATTCAACAAATTGAGATGGTGTGGTTTTTGCTCTTGAACATCAAAGTTACACTCATCTTGAGCACCATCAACATCATACTCACTGCTGTCATTCACAGTGAAAGTTCCACTACCACCAGCTGACGACAAAGGTGGACAGCGATCAGGGTATAGTTCTCGAGCCAAAGCTTCCTCCTGATTGATGATAGCAAGCCAAGTCGCACTTTCTTTTGCTGTCATCTTATCCTGCAAGCACTTTGACTGCCTCACAAGCTTCCGGATTTTAGCAATATCAGGGGAAATGTGCTTGATCACCGCTGTTAGGACACCAACCTTCCACGCCTTCTTCAGATCATGAGGCTTTTTATAAGGTGGAGGACCTTGGTCTTTCTGCAAACCCAATTGAGGCCACCAATCCTCCTGTCCTGTAGGCCACCATGGGGGTGAAACACCTTTCTCCAACGGAAATCTTCTCTGAGGAGGATCACAGTGCTGCATCAAAGCTGACAATAACGAACCAAGGGTGGTATCTTGCAGCTCCTGCAAGGTGTGAGGTGTAGGACCAACTGGATTTGATACCTCATTCTTGCCTGGGATGGCATGCTCAGCTTGGTATTTGGCTATAGACGCAGGGCCATTGCGATCAAATCTCACTTTATCCTTCCACCACTCCCTAAGATTATCAGATGCCCCACCAACCGGCTTGCCTTTTTCCGGAATGATCCCATAAACAAAACCCTGAGCTTTACATACTTCCATCATTTTCAACATGTACTTCAAGATCCCATCCTGTGCCCTCGACATCTTCTTCCTCCTTGCCTGCTCCTGTGACTGGCGTCGTTTCACAGAATCAACATCTTCCATCCCCTGATTCATTTCTTTCAGCCTTTTCAGCTTCATCTTGTCCCTCCACACTCTCTTCTCTAGCTCATCCACATCAATATCCTCATCGCTATAATCATCATCCACCACCTGCTCTGCCTCAGTCTGTGGAGCAGCCACCTCCACGTCCTTAAGCGGAGCAGGAAAGAAATCAAGATCCCCACAGAACCCCATTTCCTCAAACATCATCATCTTGACAAGAACAACACTCCTCCAAACAATAATCAAACACCAAACTTCAAGAAACCTAAACAGAATTAGCAGCTAACACCCAATTTTTCACAGATTATCCTGTCCTTTCTCAATACTCATCAATCGAAATCAACTAAATTACGCGATACTTGATCCTGCAAATACATTTAAAAGGGAAAATAAGAAAATCTCTTCACAAAGTACCACAAATGAATAACACAAAACAGTGTTGACATATGAATATCTCAATACACAGGCAGTTCAACTAAAAGCTAAAAGGAGAGAAAAAGGTGGCCCTTTTTACATTGGTCATAAAAAAAAACATAGATTTTTGCACATGAAAGAAAAAACCAAGATAATCTCCCAAAAATATAAAAAAGGTACAAATTATTTCCCGCGAAAATCCAAAAAAAATTAACATATTTTCCCAGATCTAAACCGTCAATATTAATGTAACCCCCAAACAGAAATCTGAATACCCAAAAAAAAAAAGACTTTTTTTTAAAGGAAAGTAAAAAGAATCTTGTAACTCACCCAACTATGCTAATGTTCATATATTATATACATCAGATGATAAATTATAAACAATAAAAGAAGGTAAATTCAACTAATCAAGAATCATAAACACATAAAAATCCAATCTTTAAGCAAAAGCACAAATCTTTACAACAAAAAAAAACACCATTAAAGATCACTAATTAACAAAAGAAAGAACAAAAACAAATATTTGTAAAGAAGACAGAGACATACAAATATTAGTATGTGAGTACCTGAATTTATGATTTTTGCAAAAGTGTATTAAACTCTTTCTCTCTACTGACCATTTTTTAGACTCTATGTGGAAGCAGAGAAGAAAGATAAGTAAGAAATAGATAGAGAG